AATTAGGATCATGCTTTCTAAAGGTGTAGGAAGGAAATTTTTAAAGCACATGCCAATTAAATAAGTTAAGCGAGGCCACTACAGGAACCACTGTTAACTTCACCACTTCTACGTGTGTGACCACAGCAACACTCAGAAGAGCAAATTTCACAGTGGAAAACAGCTAATAATTTCTGCCAATTTTCATGTAATTACCTTTACACAATTGCCAAACAAAAAAAGAAAGTCATCACAAAATTAAGTGCGTTAAGGAAAAATTGTTATGGGGAATTAATTTAGACTTAACATACACCAAGTATGTTGGTTAAGTGGAGTAAATACGGTTTGCAAAAATCAGAACAAAAATTTTCCAGTTCACATTATGCCATTCTAATCTTTAAAGCTTGCACTTCAGGCCTACTTTCTAAATGGCACAATCCACTGTAAAAAATGCTGAAAATATTTATATTTGGTCTCATGGACAAAAAGATGAACATAGAAAAGATGGAAAGAGAAAGTGAAGTGTGGTTTCAACCAGTTCCTGCTTGATCTGGGAGGAGGAACAGTCAAAGATAAAGTCTCGGAGAGATGCAAACACAAGGCTATGTCACTATAGCTTATCAGATGTGGAATGATTTGTTGGTGTGTTTTCCAGCTTGCTCATAAATCCCATGGCACTCAATTCTATACTTCTGACAAAAAAGGGTTCTCTTCAACAATAAACAAAAAAACCCAAATACAACTAGTTAAACAAAACATGCTGCTTTTTTTTACAGGTAAATTTGAGCTAGCAAATGGAAAAGACTCCAACTAACAACTTGGTTTGATGGCACACACATAGCTGTATTAGTAAAAATTTGTTTACAGAGATAGTGGAAGCAGACAAGCACCTTATACACAACAAGACTGAGTATGTGTATCTTGAGATCTTTGCTACTTCCCTTACACGACTGTATCCTTGCTCTCTAAGTACCACCTTCAGTAGAAATCTGGCAATTTAAAAATCTTTTCTCATTATGCAAGGCAAACTCACTTAAGAACGACGGTCTTTCATCTGGGTCTTGTGCCCATCCACTTCTGATCAATTTTATGATGAGCAGTCGATGAGGAATGTCCATTGATAAACTTCCTTCACTTAAGTCTAGTCGCTGTCCTTGTGACACACTATACATTATCTGCAAGGGGTTTATAACTTCTGTCAAAATAGACATCACGCAATCATTAGAAATATATGCAATATAAATAGCCTACTATAGGAGGAATAACTTAGTTTGCAGACACAGTATTTATAGTTCACCAAAATAAAGTTATGTATTTTTAATTTATCAAACAACAATGTAATTTAAAAAAAAAAAGTCACATCTGAAAATAACTCACTATGTTCTTCAGCAAGCTTACAAGTTGAATCATGAAAAAGTAGCCCCTAAAATGAAGTCCCTATGTACCTAGGTCTCAGGTTTAGCCTTTATGTAAGGCTGGAAAAATAAAGGAAGACAATAGGCTTACCTTCAAAAGGCTGTTTCCTCGACATCACCTCCCACATAATAATTGCGTAACTAAAGTATAAAAAAGACATTACTTTAGATTACCAGCACTGAATAACACAACGTGCTCAGCCTTACATTTCATTGAAAATATCTTGATAAAACCATCCTGCATACACACACAGGGCTGACTATAGCTAACTACAACCATGACCTGAATATATGAAACTAGCAGGAATTTTAACCAGTGACTTCAACCAGAGTGAGTTAGTAATGTTAAGTACAGAAAAGGTGTGTGGCATATGAACTCCTATTCCAAATCTGTATTAGCTCTGCTCTGCTAATATTTTGTGAACTACGTACATGCAATTGAAATCTCAGTATGCAAATTCAAGTGAGTCTCAGAGTTCCCACTGCTCTGTCATGACTGTGGTGTTGCGGTATCTTGCTGGTCAGCATTGAAACTCTCTGCCATTCCCATGGCTGGCAGAGTACTAGCAGGAAGGATGGCTTTTCACCACACCTCAATCCCAGCCACTCAGGTAAAATACAGACTTGCACCCAGGAAGCCCACTCCAGCTGCCTTCATGGAGATACGTACTTTCAACATATACAGTCTTCTCTATAAGGAGTGATGTCACTTACAGACAGCATTCACATTACAAAAGAGACTCTCAGAAAGACCACCCTGAACCATAGCTAGGAGACTGAACACACGGCTGCTTACTCGCACCATTTTTTCCCATTCACATCAACATGAATAGGAAGTGGTTCAGTGAATACAAACCTGCTCCATCTTTAGTAGACTAGCCACTCACAGAATCACACCACAGCCTCACAGAATTGTTGAGGCTGGAAAAAACCTCTGAGGTCATCAAGTCCAGTCTATGACTCTACACCACCACATCGAATAGACCACAGCACTAAGTGCCACATCCAGCCTCTCCTTAAACACCTCCAGGGATGGTGACTCCCCCACTTTCCTGGGCAGTGCATTCCAGTGCCTGAGCACCCTCTCTGTGAGGAAGTGCTTCCTGAGATCCAACCTAAACCTTCCCTGTCTCTCTTCAGTCATCAGGATATGTTAAAAAAAGGTAACTTTAAACAACTTTGTAATTTAAATAAGATTCATAGATTCACAGAATCATTGGTTGGAAAAGACCCCTAAGATCATTTAGTCCAACTGCCTACCCAACACCATCATGACCACAAAACCACATCCCAAAGTGCCACATCTGTATATTTTTGAACACTTCCAGGGATGTCAACTCCACCACTTCCCTGGGCAGCCTTTTGCAATGCTTCACAACTCTTTCAGTATAGAATTTTTTTCCTAATATCTGATCTAAACCTCCCCTGGTAATTAGGTGATTTCATTTAAATGAAACATTGTATTAACTTATTAAAAAAATCAATGCATTTAAAGAAAATAAAAAAGAATAAGATATTGTAAAAACCCCAAATCTGTCTTTCCAATATAAGAATAGGAATTTGGTGTGAGGAATAAATAGTTCTAAAGCTAAAATGAAAGAGTAAAAGTATTTCACTGCTAAAGACTTTAATTTCTAATGTCAAACATACAGTTGTAAACTTACCTCTATTCCTTTATTTTTTCAGTATTTAAAAATGGATTGAAAAGTTTTTAAAATGCTACTTCAGAAAACCTGAAATCCAATTGCCGCTGAAGCAATAAAAATGAAACTATGCAAATAATTTATTTTTTTTTTGCTAAAGAAGAATTACACTTATGAGAACAAATGCTAGCTCAACTGTACAAAAAGATGGTATTTTCCTACATCGGTAAGGAGTGTCAGATTTTACATACAGGTTATATTTAACTGCCTCTAAGTATTATATCATTTAGCAGCTACCAATTAGGAAGGATAAAAAAAATAAGAATGAAATAACTGATACTTAAAATCAATCATTTATATCGAACTTTCCTAACTACATATTCCATTCACATTTTAACATTCATCGATGTTAAAAACTATTTAAATAACTTTTAAAAAAGCAGTCTTCCTTGTTCAAAAGCCTCCCTTTGCTACTTTCCTGAGAAATTCATGCAGGCTGATTTTTTTTTTTTTAGCACGGCAAATTGTTCCTTTTGTAAAAGTTAATGCTGCTTGACTGTTGTTTAAATTATTTGTTTCTTTCAAGAAGATCCTTCCTCACAAATTAGCTTCAATACCTCAGCAACATTCAGCTGTATCTACTGTGGTCAATCAATCAGACATCCAGCCTTCCATTCAGTTTGGAATTTCTAAAATTAAGGATTATTTTCTCAGTACTACAACACTGCAGCATACCATGTCCTGCTGATTTCCCTTTACATTGTTCTTTTCCTTTCTGATTTCTACTTCAGAGCATCTCCATCTGATCCTGAGCACAGATCTTCCTGTGTGGCTTTTCTGGTGGTCATTTCCTTCACTCTCTACCTTCATTTCTTCCTTCCTTGAACTACCATCCTTCTTTGTGATGTTGTTTAAGTTTCTTTTCTCTCCTCTCCAAATAATCCCTTTTCTTCCTAATCTATCAGTTTTCTAAGGTCTTTTGCTGCTCTTTTATCTCTTATTTTCTCCCGTTCGGTTGTTACTCCTCTACATGCATTTTTTTTCTAACAAACATTTGTCGTCCTCATCTCCACTCACTTATTAAGGCCTTTAAAATCAGAAGCCAGAGAACATAATGTCACAGTGCTACTTCTTTCCCCACAATATACCATTATTCCTTTTCAGTGTCTTCCTAGTCCAGATTTTCTCGTAAAAGTGTGAGGAAAGCAGCTATGCTGCCATATCTATTCTTTGGACAGGAATGTCAAGGAAGCTCGTGGGCCTCTTAATGGTAAGAGATAATTAAGAGCAATGGTGGTCTCCTTGGAAGTCAGTAAGACTCTCTCAGACTAATTAATCTTTCATGCCTCCTCAGTCTCTGTTTGCACATGACAATGCCCTCCACGATCATTCAAGTAATCTTCGAGCTCTCCAAACCTTTTCAGATTAGCTAACTGTAACTCTAATATCCTAGGAGCAATTGTCCTTTTATTGTATAGGTGATCACTGCTCTACTGCTTCTTGTTCTGTTATTTCTACTGCTCAGAACTGACTGATGCAAATCAACTGAACTTTCATAAAATAAGTTACTGTTTAAGGAGATTTCTCCAAACACTTTGTCCAACTCCATAACCCTGCTTTTTCTTAACCTTTTTCAAAAAATACGTTTTCTTCTTTCCCCTGAGTACATTCTACAAATTATGTTAATTGATGTGCACAAATTACAAGAATATGTGCATTCTCCCCCTC